TGCCAGTTTTCTAATACCATATGTTCATATGTTTTTTTTTTTTTTTTTTTTTTATTTTTTTTTTATTTTTTTGCTTTGGCAAGCTTTTATTTTTTTTATCCAAAATTATTGCTTTTATTTTTTTTATCCAAAATTATTTACTGAGTAATTAAGTTGTTATTGACACAAGCAGGAAAATATAACTGGATTTTTTGGTTGTGTTTGTGTTTTGCATAAGCACATTTTCCCAAATACTTAGTTATACCTAGGTCTGCTATATCTGTTGTTCTTTCTGGATTTTTGAGGATTACTCAAATCCTACTTAGCAYGGTTAAGACTGCAAAACAGTTACTGAAAATCATCATAGCGATTRCTTCTGAGATTGTGCTACTGTTCAAGACTAAATAAGGCACTTTAAATGTTGGCTGAGACTATGGTTTTAATTACTGCGAATATCAGATAGTCTAATTAAAAATAATTTTCCGWCTACAGATATTATACCTGCATATCTAACTAATCGCCAGAACTTTAAGAGTGAATAAAGTGGAATTATTAACATTAGAAGAGGGTGTAATACTAGAGATCCAATATTAATCTTTGCAAATAATTTTTTAAAAAGCTTTAGTTCAAAGAACTTTCTTTCAAAATACTTTCTACCATCAGCTTTGCATTCATAACATAATTTTATGCAAACCTTGTTTTCCTGCCTTATGAGTTACTTAACTCCTGAGCCACAAAATTAGGTCATAATCATCTTTAATTACAACACGCATGTAAACTGCCAATAGAAATTTCATGGAGTCAAGTTCTCACTGCATTGATGAAGACTTCCAAGAAATAAAGACAGACTTCCTATCTGACTACTCCAGTAAATGTGTTGTTTTCAGGTTCCTTAAGATGAAGGTGAAAGAACAGGAATTCATATAGGGTTCTGTTAGAAACCAGAATATGGGTTTTGCAAAATTTTGGCCAATCAGAAACACCTCAAAATCAATAGAGTGCCTTTTTTTTTTTTCTTTAACTAGAAGTTTTCTGCTGTCTATAAGATATTGTGAACATATTTTATAATTTGGTCTGCAACATTCATAAAATGGCCTGCCATGTACTACATAAAATGCATGTAACTGGAAACTAAATAATRAGTATGTAATTCCATAGTCCATGAGAATACTAGGAAGTCATAATAGACAAAAACAAAGCAGTAGATTTAAAACTTCCATTARAAGTGTAAGAAAGTATTCTTTCTGTTCTATTTATCTTTGGAAAATGATGCCAAGATGCAAAATAGAAAAAAAAGAAACTGCTTACTGGCAAGAATCACATTATTATTGCACAATTTGAATAATCTACCCAAAGGTCATCAAAACTTGATTCCATGTATATTTAAACAAAGTTTGGGATTATCACTGTTCACATAAATAATTCATGGTCTCACTCTTCTTCCCCTAGAGGAGGTTGTTGTCAGACTTTGAATACTTAGCCCAGTGTGTCTGAAACTAACTTGCCAAGAAATTTATGCTTTTCCCCTGGGCTTGAGCTCTTTCCATGTGGGTGTTTYTGTGGGCTTAAAATTTCTTTATTAAATCTAAAAATTGAAAAAGCATAGAAAACTTGTTCCATATTTCCAAAAATAATAGTTAGAAAATTTTCAATTAATTTAATCAAAAACTTTTATTTCATAGTTTGTGCTGTTTCCGTTTTATCTATTAATGTTACCTTTCTTCAGGTTGCTGTGGAGCTCTTCAGAGACTGATTATCTTTTAGGAAAGGAGGGGGAAATAGGAAGATGTGATTATGCTAATGAGGGAAACACTAAAGGATTAGTACAATAAAACTCTTRCAGGGAATAGAGCTGAAGACTTTTGACACATGAAATGTGTTCATTTTTAAGGTTCAGAGAGATAGCAGATATGAAAAAGAAGGTATATTCATTGAATTAGAATGTATTATAGTGAAGTTCATAATTCTGGGCTTTATTCCCTGCTAATATGATTACAAGTCTGTCTTTCTGGAGGCATTGATGTCTGGGCTGACAGAAACTATGATTTTCTAGAATCAGTCTGCAAAGCTSCTATATAGTCTTACACATAAATTGCTGAATAGCATTATAAAATAGATATGTCTTTACAAATCTTGCTTTCTAATGACTTTGATTATTCTTTAAGAAATTCTTCATCTGAAASAAATATGACTGTGGCACCATCTAT